ATAACAGGAACTTGTCCCAGTAACAGGTTGGATCCGCAATTGCGGGTTGGGAATATTCAATCACCTTCCATCGTTTCTAAAAGGTGCATGTCATAATAGGAACTTGTCTCAGTACCTACCTGTGACTACCTGTGACTATACTAAACCTGTGACTACACTAAACCACCTGTTACTACCTGTTACTACACTAAACAACCTGTTACTACACTGAACAGGTTGGACCCGCAATTGCGGGTTGGGAATATTCAATCACCTTCCATCGTTTCTAAAAGGTGCATGCCATAACAATAACTTCGGGAAAGTTTTGAAAATTTTTTTGTGAGGGAGCCTTTTATAATTTATCAGATTACTATCAAGATACCTTTCAATTCGACATATGTTTGACTTTCAATACATTTCCTGAAGTCAATATTGAAAACGTTTTAGATAAATTCTTCTATTTTCATAAGAGTATTGAATTGTGTTATGTGAATACAAATTACTTTTGTTGACTCTTTCTGTCCTTTTTTGTTGTATGTACAATGTGAAATGTTCAGTAACCACTTGAAATTTCATTCAACAAACTCGCAATGTATATCATTTTATGGTGAACAGTTTTTTGAGAACATTACTCGAATAGTTATTACCTGACTAAGTAGCGACAGCTAACATGTGAAATTTTGTTTTTTCAATTATGTTAACCACGCTTTGTCAATAAGATATGAATCTTAAGCATATTTTGACTTTGACTTTGACTCTGAAGTAGGTAAATCAGAACCCTCACCCGCGTTCCGCAAAAAAAACGCAATTAGAAGGCGTAGCCGTGTTCATCGATTCTTCTTTAGATTTACTACCTACTTCAGTTTCCTATGAAGGAGGCCATAACTCAGAGTAGCTTCTTATACGGCGAGCACGTCAATTAGCGTGGTGGATTCCTCCAATTTACTCAATTCCAACACGTCAAAATTGTACTCGGTAATAAATATATACTTTTTGTGCCGATTTCTTTCGCAGGTGGTAGACTCTGTCAGCGCTATACTTTCTGTCGGAAGTGGCTGACTAATGTGAGAAGTTTTGGAGGATGTTTCATTCATTTATCCGCGAAGACACTGAAATGAATTGAAGATTCAATATATTATCGTGCGCAATCTTTTGTTTCTAAACTATTATTCATATACATAGTTGGAGTTTGTAGTCTGGGTCACAAGATTTTTTTTGGAACTTCTCTCCAAGGGCACCGAAAATCATGATTCAGGGCTCATTCCATTCGGAATGACCTCTTTTTTTAAAAACAAAATCGTTTCTTGAAACTGAATATGAATATCTGTGTCTATATCTGTAGAGTAGGGAGGGTGAGTGTAGACCCCCAGCAGTTTAGTAATCTAGATCTATATTTGATAGTTTTCATTGTAGTGTATTTGCCAACAGTTTATCCATGTAATTAGTCTTTATTGGACTGTAAGGGTGATAAATACAAATAAATAGGGAGTAGGGAAGGAGAGTAGGGAAAGACTAAGCCCATGCACTTAGGCCACATGTGACCCATTGTACATCCTCCCGAGGAGTTGCCCTCCTAGGTCATCATCCATCCTGTCCTTTCTAGGAAGGTGGACTAGGAAACATCTCCTTTATATTGGCAGGTGTAGGCCAAGACCCGCCGAACACACACTCTCTTTGGCAACCTTGAGATGTCTCACGGAGGCCTTCACTAAGGTTTTGGAAGGTGCAGCGACAACTGTCGTTGCGCGGCTTCTTCAACCTTCTTGGAGTTCTCTCCGTGGAGGTGCACAAGTGAGGTAGCTTTCCTGCAGGTACAGCCGGTTCCTCGTCTTTATTCAAGGCGGAGCTCTTGGCGTCCGCCTCAGGAAGTGACCTTGCTGTTGAAGGTGGAGTGGGGGAGGAGGAGGGTGCACTTATAGTTGCTACTCCTGCCTCTTTTTCTCCTTTTCGCCTTGGTGCCGCAAATGCGCTTATGCCTTGGCATTTGCATTACAACACGAGGTAATCTGCTATGTCCAGCCTCATTCCCAGCGGAAGATTGGAGTGGACATTTCTGTTCATTCCCAGCCACCGCCTTAGATTGAGGTGAGCACTTCTGGCTAGCCTCGGGATTGGTTTTTGTTTCTGTTTTTTTTGTTTTCGTGTTTGTTTCATTCATGTGTGTTCCCACGAGTAGCAAGGAAAGAGTTGGTCACCTCTGGCAGAGCCCCGCATTACCAGAGGTAGGCTGAGTAGAATGAGTTTTCGATGATCCCCAAGGGGATCGTTCGTAAGCGCATATCACCCTGCGGCCATTCACTTGACGGCACGATGCCTTGCACCTTAGTTTGGGTAGGCTGGTTCACGGTGGCATATTTTGCAAAGGCTTTTGGGGAGTTTTAGTTCCCCCCACCAATCATAACTTCTATTTCTCTTTGATATTCTGAAATAAACTATTTTTTTAATTTATATTTTCTTTATTCATGAAAACACAATTAAATCTGAACTCGTTATCCTTTTTGCCTCTTGTGAATCATTTCCAGCATCCATAACAATATCGTAAACAACACCGTAAAGAGCTATTTGAAGTCCATAAATGAACTGGCCGTTCGTATTGCGCGTTTTTCTTTTGGATGGGGTGACTGGAGCATGATAGAATAATCACTGGTTGTTGTTGCATGCGTTTGTTATTCACCTCTAGCATCATTTTGTAGTCATTATCGATGAATAATATTGAGATCGTGAGGATGAATAAATAGTGCACACTGTCTGATAGACTTTCTTTTTGGATCAGTGGTTTGGTAATCCAGAAATTCAACCCTCCTGTGGGTGACAGTCCCGCTAGCGGTAAATCGGAGAACAGGGTCCCTAGGGATCTTCAGAAAATATACTGAGATCACATGAATGATAAGTATGCAGGTATCTTAAAAGTGTGTCACTATGTGAGTATCTGTATGAAGCTTATGGTTGTATGAAGTGCCTGAATGATATAGACAGGTAAGACGCGTAAAATATGAGTAGTATGGCAAAAAAAAAGATTGATTTTAATTCAGGTAAAATATTCCTGGTTTATTGAGACAGATAGGCAGTAAAACGAATCACAAAAATATTACAAAGATTGTATTTGCATTCTGTGTTATTACTGTATTAATGTACATCTAGTGCTTGGCAAGTAAATTTTGTAATTGACACAAAACGATAAAGCAAACTTTGAATAGTGGAGCATGAGTTGAGCCCCATAGTTCCTTCATAGGCTCGGTGTTGGATTTTATCAGCCAAGCATACAAAATAATCGCAACGAACGCGTCAAACTCTTCCATTGCTTCTGTATGGTAAATTTTTTTGATTCCATGCAGCAGCTACCTGGTTGACCTTGCGCTTCGTTTCGTGAATGATAATTTGAGCAATAACTGCAGTGATCAGAGAAACATTGAAAGCGAATCATGAATCAATTTCTTCGTTGGTAATGGTTTATTTTGTTTGTAGTCGATAATATTGAGCACGTATACGACTGCTCGGTGGAGGATCTTTGTATCGTTTCGTACCATTTTTTGAAATAAAGTGAGTTGCATCAGTCTCAGTCTGACAAAGAGTAGCAATGGCTGCCATTGTTTGACATCGATTTCTATCTTTCGTTCAACTTCAACACCGGACGCATCCCAATCATATTCTGGTCTGTGTCATAATCGCCGTCATCAGAAGGGTCACCATTATCGCCCATTTCAGCTTCCATACAAGCTCAACATTTTGCATCGAGGTTATGTTTTTCCTTCTCAGTAAAACGCTGATAGCGTGATGTATTATTATTCAGAACCATGTTCACAAGATCCCACTCGTCATCTGCCATTGTTCTACAGAATAAAATAGCAGGGGAGCCCACGATACAAAATGGGGATTCACTCGAGCGTCATAGGACCTATTAGGTTGCAAAGCTTAGATGATAAGAAGAAAAATGTTATATAATATATACCTTCCCATCGGTGGGGGAAGCTGCTACAGATTATTAAATATGTAAAAAAAACTGTTTCATACTCGAGCGCGTCAGATATTGATACCATCAATGTAATACGTATTTTTAATAATGTTTGCATGATGTGGGTGGTTGTACGTAAGGGTTAAAAATGAAAAAAAAATCGAGCGCGTCAGATTTTCTAAGGGGGTGTTGAGTGCACCAAAAAAATGCTCTCATTCAATAATCTGACGATTTCGATCTGACGCAAACTCGCGGCCACTATTATAATGTGTAAAAAAAATAGTCATTTAGAAATACTCAAGCGCGTCTTTATGTTTTAGACGTACTGTCCCATAATGCGGGAGAAGGAAATATTAAGAGCAGATAGTTGGTTCACAGATGGATCAAAAACACCTTCGGGTTCTGGTGCAGGTGTTTTCAGTCTCAGACCCAGGACAGAGTTATCTACCTAGGAACTTATGCGACTGTATTTCAAGCGGAAATTCACGCTATTGAATTGTGTGCAGAGAGATTAGGTAAATCCAACCTCACTCACAAGTCAATGAAAATATTCTCGGACCGTCAAGCGGCATTGAAAGCTCTTGGCTCCCACCAAGCAACGTCTAAATTGGTAGCAAACTGCCAAAAAAGACTCTAGAATCAAATAATAAAACTCAAATGCGCAATAATACGTATTTATTCGTCAAACGATGGTCTCACATTGGCTGGTACCTGAGACAAATACACATATAAAATCCATCAAACTGTTTGATCTCTTTCTTGAAGATGATCACTTGATGATCGAAACAAGCGTCGAGGTTTTAAAATAACGATTTGATAGTAGAATATTCCCTAACATTCAATGCTAACCCATTCAATTGAAATGAATTTATAAACATTGAAAGCCGAAACTAAACAGATGATATTATTTTCATTTCCTCATTTTTCTTTGTTCACTTAGTTTCATGAAATGGGTGTTTTTCGTAAAATCATAATTCTGAGTGAGAAACAGGGTGGCAACTTGTCGACAAACTCCTGACTCTTTTTCTCTTTTGTTCCAGATCTCAGTTTTCCCATGAGTGTGGTCGACACGGGCCTGCCTTGGCTCCGATACTTACCACCAGCGCCCTTCACCCTCCCACTGACAATGCGTGAGAAAGACTCATTCCCCCGGAAGATGTTGGTGGCGTCTGGAGGCCACAGCTCTCCGAAACAAGCGGCCGTATACCCGCTCTCCATCAGGGTACCCCCTGGAGACGAAATGCCCTTCGATCTCTCTCGGAACACGAGGTCACCAGGGCCTCATATGTCGCCGGCAAGTCGACCCCCCCAAGGCCCCCAAGACGCCGAGGAGCAGCCCCTGGACTTAAGGGTGGAGCACAAGAAAATGTCTTTGATGTTACTGCGACGGCAAGTGGAGGATGAGAATAGGAACTTGATATCTCCCACTCCTAGTGTGAGTAGTGATAAAGACGAAGTGATAGTGGAAGAGAGAAACAGTCCTGTTAGGAACAATAACAGTGCTAGTACTAATAACAGTAGTAGCAGTAATGGTTTGCCAAAGACTTTCAGCCCCCAATTATCGAACTATTCTGGTATGCTGTTTCCTCCTCAACCTATCCACCCCATGATGTTGGAAGTCATGTATCGCGCTCAAAAGGGAGAGAACCTGCCAAGACTTCCGATACCTTACCCTAGCTCTCCCTCTGGGTACCCTCAAAGATACCCCTTTGTCAATCCCTCGATGCTCAGTCCTCCAGTGAATCAGGTACCTTTCGACATGTTACGGAACCCGCCCACTCCTCAGACTCCAAAAGTTTTCGACCCCGCAGGTGGAAAGCTCAAAGACAGGTACGCGTGTAAGTTTTGCGGAAAAGTTTTTCCTAGGTCCGCTAATCTCACTAGGCATCTAAGAACGCATACTGGGGAGCAGCCATACAAATGCAGGTACTGCGAGAGATCTTTCAGTATATCGAGTAATCTCCAGCGACATGTCAGAAATATTCACAACAAGGAGAAACCCTTCAAATGCCCGCTTTGTGAACGGTGTTTCGGACAACAGACTAACCTAGACAGGCATCTGAAGAAGCACGAAGCTGACGGTCCGACTATCTTGGATGAGAGGAGTTTGCAGAGGAGGAACATGACTGCTAGGAGCATCAGCGAGGAGTCGTACTTTGAGGAAATCAGGTCCTTCATGGGAAAGGTTACTGATGGCAGGTTGCTGCAACACTTGCAACCGCCAAAGCAGATGCCAAACTTCCCCATTAACTTACCAAAACTCTTCGATTCTGGCAAGATGGGCCAGGAGAAACCTATATCTCCTGAGGGCAGCAAGAGGGATTCCTCTTACTTTTCAGATAAGGATAATTATTCTTCGAGATCCTCAACCACGTCGGAAGCTTCGAATAAGGAAGAGGACATCGACTGCAAAATGAAATCGACTATAGAATGCATGGATCAAGACGTCGAAGACACGAGTGATAACAATAATAATAACACTTGATTCAGGTAATGGTATTGTGATAGTTCCACCTGTGTGGATAAGTTTGTGTAATAATGTTTTCAAAGTACCTTCAATATTTCTATTAGATAGACATTCAGCGGAAATGAGACGCGAGTGTTTTACTCTTCGATCGGTTTTAATTACTCTGTCTAATTGACGCACAATTTTGTAACCTAAATTGTATTAATGGCGTATGTGAAACGAGAACGGAAATTGTGCAAATATTGATGGCGATTTGCATTATTGAAGAGACTTTGAAATCTTGAGAACCTTCGAAAACCGTAAATTGTATCGTTGGTACAATAAAGTCAAAGTTTTTAGATTGTGAATTATCCTGCAAAAGTACTTCCATTACGTAATTGGGTAAATAAGTAACAGCCAGAATAAGTAATAGTTTGATGGTTTATCTTAGATCATATTGCCCAATAAGTGGGTCAAAACAAATGCATAAACTCGTGACTTACCTACTTAAATTTAGCCTTTTGGAATATAATTGAAATTATTGTTATCATCACACTGATCAAATCAAAATAACATCAACAGAAATATAATAGATGACATGAAATATGATATATCAACTTCCTAATTATTACAAACAGGATGAAAGAGAGATTCAAATCTCGTGCAGATTTTAGACCTAACAGAATTTGAAATTCGATTTTCAACAATTTTGCCCTTTTACAAAGTAGCAGTTCATTCATGAAAAAGCGGCACCAGAATAACATCTTTTTGTAGAAAAAACACGTGTTGCGTTTTTGTAGAACTATCTAGTGAAAATCACACAATAAAGTGTTTTTAGAATACGTTAGTTATGGATTTTCATCAAGTATCGGCCGATTCCATCATATATTTTCATAAATTGTTAGAAAATGTATCCTTCAACAGCATTTCGAACATGGTTTTTGAAAATCTTGCTGATTTCATACATATCTGGATGGAAACATGGAAATTTTTCAATGAAATTAACCAACCATAAGGAAATGGGTATGTCATACCATATTGAACTATATCAACTACAGATTTGTTACATTTGAAATTAATAATACTATATTGATTAGTAGGGAACAGAATCAATACAAAAGGCAGAAATTTTAGGTTCATATGGCACAGTTATGATCATGATATAGTAATTTCTACTATTTTTTCGGTGGGTTGTAGATATTTAAATATAGGATGTATGAGATTCAGTGATGCATTACAGTTCAAAAAACATCTCAACCCAATAATAGGAATTGCATTCATATCACTCACACTCCTGAAAATTGTTAGTGATATTCCTCTCACTGATGAACATTTTTTCCATCAAATTCTCTCACTTCCTCCAACCATCAACTGGCACATTCTTTGGAAGAACGTGCTTCGTTAATGACAAATACTGAATTTATCTTCTATCGAAGAAAGTGACTTCGCCCAGCTTATAATAACTGGAAAGTGATTTTTATTAGGCGACGTGAAGCTGGAAAAAAGTAAAGCATTCAAAAACATAATTAGCGATTTAGTTTAATATATTCCACTCGAAGTAATTTGTAGTGCGTAGTCACATTTTATCTGATTCCTATAAGGTTAATTAGATGTTAGACATACAATTCTTTCAGTAATTAACTGCTCAGTCTCAGACCTATTTATCGCTCTCGATATGGGCATATGCTACTCCTCCTGTTGAAATTCACTTCCGCGAGCCTTTGGATGTTCAGTGAGGTCAACATGGTTGATTTCTGTTGACCTCCGTACGAAAAATGTAAAGAAGGTTGAGGTCTCATATCTCAAATTTTTGGTCGAGGCGTGCAACTTTACAGAAAGGATTTTTTCGTATCGAATCTAGTCGATTTCTTCTGATTTTATTTATTATAGTACAATCGTGTTTCGTTCATTCCACAGTTTTCACAAATATCACTCCTTCAACATTTTTCATCTTTCACTCAATCACTTTCTCTTCTGAAATCTTCATCGCTTTTTCCTCTTTCATTTTCTTTGTGTGCTTTTGANTTTGGAGAATCACCACACTGAGAGGCCAATTTATATTTGAACAGTATAGTCATTCATTTAGGTTTTCTTTTTTCAATTTTCAACAAGAACAACAAGCTTTCATTGAAATATATATAAATTGTACTCGATTTACGATAATAATTAGTAATCAGCTGCCCGCTACAAATAACTTCATAACTTTTCTAAAAACGTTTATGTGCTTGTAAAAGGCAGGTTTCTCACTCTTCAGAAAGAGATCTTTAGCAATGAGTTATGCCAATCTGAGAAGCATCTGAGAAACTCATTCCCCCCAGTACATTATTGAATACACCTCATCTATATACTGACAACTGACTGTTCTTTGATTCAAAAATTCCAGGTTCAGAACATTTTTTCAACTTTTTACGTTTCACTTTCCCTTTGTAGATTTTTCATTTTCTATATTCTTTATTCAGTGTTCACTTTCCAGCTATCCATTCATTACTTATCTCTGTCTCCCATTCTTTCCTGTGAAGTAATTTTTAGTGAGCTAAGGAATCCTCTTGCCTACTTTCATTTTTCTCAGTCATCATACTGTGAGTAAATCTGAGTAAAATTTTCACTTTTCTCCAACATTCGTTTCGAAAATCATTATTATTTCATTTCATTTTCCTTTCTTCCTTCTTCTTCCTCTATCTAGGTTGTTACATCCCTCCCCTATCTTCTTTGACTGTTATTCAACCGTTGTTTTTTAATAACTTCTTTTTCTACATGTTCACTAATTACTTTTTCTCAATAGTCACTTTCAATCTCTGTTTCAATTATTTCTCTTTCTATATTCCCATCTTGGTTCACTAAATAAATGCCTGCTTTCAATCCTTCATTTATAGTTTTTTCACAGGCTCATTTCCAACAATCACCTGTGAAATTTCTTTTTTTTATTACTTCATTTTCACTTAAATTTAATATTTTTATCAGTCATACTTTCTTTCCTTCTGTTCCTTTTTTTGTATTCCTCATTTTTTCTAGCGAATTCTTTGTAGCTTATCTCATTTTTCTTCAATTTTCTAATCTACTTTTCATAAATGTTTCGCAACCCCTCATTTTTCTTCTCTCTCAACTCCTTCTCTTCTTATTATTATTATTCTTCTCTTATATATTATTATTTCTTCTTATCTTTCCTTTGGAATAATTTCCAATAATTAAACTCATTCCATAATTTTTGTTTTTTTTTCATTTTCATTCTCTCTCATTCATTGCCAGTATTCACCTCCTCAATTTAATATCTTTTTCATTTTCCTTTCTCCGCCTGGTTCTTTATAGCTTCTTCTTTTTCTCTCTCTTTCTTTTTCACATTAAATTTTCAATTCCAATAATTATATTACCCTCTTCCACACCCTTTTCTTTCTTCTTTCCTTTATTCTTCATCTACACTCTATTTGGGCAATAATCTACTTGTTTTCTTTCATTTACTAAATACCCACTCGCCTCCACCTCTTCATTAATTTATTGTCTTGTTACTTTTCATTTTATACCTCCATCAATTCATTCTACATTTCATCTCAAGTTTGTTTTCATCTCTTTTTTCCTCTTTCAATACTTTCTGCATTTCTTCTCTTCAGTTGCTCTCGATTTTCCCTTCTAGATACTCTCTTTCTTCTGTTTACTTTTCTCATGTTTTTATTTATATATCTCCTATTTCATTTCATTTCTCCTCTTTGTTTCCTTCTCCTATTTCATTTCATTTCTCCTCTTTGTTTCCTTCTGTATCTTTCTTTCTTACCCCCTCTCCACTGCGTTTTCTTATCTCTTCTCCTTTCTCTACTACTTCCTTTTTTTCTCTATCTTCAGTCTCTCTTCATTCTTTTCATACTCTTTCTCCTCCCTTTTTCGAATTAAGTTCACTTCATACATATTTCAGAATTAAATTTTGTTGCTGTATTTCTCTTTCACCTCCTCTTCAAAAACAGATTTCATCTTCACATTTATTTTCTTCACATAGACATATTTTTCAGGTTTTTTTATTTCTTTTTTCCTTGTTGATCTTAATTTTTTTGGTACGAGGCTACAATGGCATCTTTTCACCGATTCAAACACTTTCTCTGTGTTTTTGGTTGTTGAACAGTTTGTTTCAGATTTTTCCCATTCCTTTCTTCCGTCTCACTTTTTATCACTTCCTTTCGTGAACTACTTTTTTTCTCCTATTCAATCAATAATATTTTTCTTGTTTCCACTGTTTTGGCTTCTTTGTTGTGTGAAAATGTTTTTCTTTTCCATATAGTTGTAACCTATTCTTCATATTCACTTCATTTCTCTGTATTCTTTCTCTGATTAGCTGATACATTTTCATTTTCCTTTCATCTAGCTTCCATAAAGTTTTCATGTATATGTTTCATTCTATTGTTTACTTCTTGCTTCAGCTTTATATTTTCTTCTATTCTAATATTCTCTCATATTTTTCCTTTTTTTCACTAACTTTTTCTCATTTTCTTTTTCAATTCTACCTTACTCATATTCTTATAAATCTTTCATAATGTTTACTATTATGTGTTGATTTACTTTCTTCTGCCTTTGTTTTTCATGCATTCAAAATCACATTTTTTTCCTTTCTCGCCGGAATTCATTTCATTTTTATACTATATCTATCATTTCTGATTCTATTTTTTTTTGTTCTTCTCAACAACTTGTCTCTGTTTTCAGAATTTATCATCAAACTTCTGTTGACTTAAACCCTGTCACTATCAATTGAGACACTTTTTTCTATTCATCTTCCATTTCTTGTCTCTCATTCTTCTTCTAATCCTAAACTTTTCATTCCTAACATTCTCTTTTATTCAAGTTTTTTTTGGTCTGATTTTCATTCACATTCATATTGCCACTTACTTCACAAACAGTCACAATTTATTTGTGAGCTAACAGGGTATGAAAACGGTAACGAATGAAAAACAGCAGAAAGCAAAACCACTTCATATTGGCTTTAGAAATAGCTTTCCATAATAATCTTTCGCCGAATGTTTTACAGATGTTGTATCTCGAATAAAAACGAAGAATCTCCG